TGTGTTTAAAATGGGTTGACAATTTATACATTTGTCCAGGGAAGGATAAATAAAAGACCTGCATGCTCATGTTCCATCAACACCACATTTCGTATCCATGTTTTACATGTGGCAACTGGCACACAGGATTTTGCTCAGGGGCATCGTAACAAAAAATTTTGTGCGAGCTGGGAATTTTTTTGTCGTATGTCTGGAAATTCACACTTAAGTCACATGCCTACTCCTGGAAACTCACTGTGCCTGTTCAATACATATCTGGGCCTACAGAGAAGCATGGCCAAAGAGGGGCAACTCAATCACACTCAACCTTAAGGAGCTCTTTGACCTTAAACGTTTTCTGTGGAATTTGCTCCAAACTTCCCAAACCACATTGTTGAAACACTCCGATTCAGAAGAATAACAAAAGATCCTGACTCATGAGATAATTCTAGGTTGACTTCCTACAATGAACCACACCACGCTGTCAGTAGCACATACTTTTTGTGTGAGAGTGTGTGAATCATAAGAGGCAGACAGGTCAGTGACTGAGGGCTACCAAAAGAGCAGGCAGACCTGACCAACAGTGTTTTCTTTAAGGATCAGACAGAATAGCACTGCAGAAGCGGACACAGGAGTAATGTGTGAGAAGCACTAAGATCCTTTACTAAAGCAAAAAATAGCAATACTACAATTACACATAAAGGATAGAAAATAAGGACACAATTACAGGATTAGCTGACTTGATAAGAAGCACTGAACAATGCATCACGTTATATAAGTGGATTAGCCTATATGTTTTGTTTGAAAAATCTTTATCTGCAAAATAAGTACAAACTTGTGTGTGGGTGTCAAAAACTGTAGTGTAAGTAAAAAGTCAAATATCTGCCATTGACATGTAGTAGCAGGCAACACTGACTAGACTTAGCTTGCATGCAAGTCTATAAGTCATGTATCCGTGTAATATAGTATGGGAGAGCTATAGCTAATCACTATTGACATGTGAAAACTCACTTTTTGGTAATTTTCCTGTTTTTACTTTGGCTGAATGATTATATAGTTCAATGCAAAAAAAATCTCATCTCACTAACCTCTGCTCAAAACAATCTGGATTACATGCACAATGTTTCACAAAGCTAAAATAAACCCGATCGTCCAAGACATACAAACATTTAACGACAACAGCATAACAACACCCATCCGCTAAGGATGTACAGCCGACAGAGAAGTCGGTTTGTCCACCCATCCAAGCTAGTTAAGAGAAGAGAAGAGCAGCAGCATAAAGTATGACAGGAATGAAAAGCTTCTGGGTAACTGTCTCAGAGTGAGGAAACAACGCAGTTCCCAGGCCACCATATCACCAGGCCAACAGGAAATGGCTGCACACATGGGACCCAGGTGGCTCAAAGTGAAACGAGGCACAAACCATATAAGCTTGTTCACAATGCTGTGTGTTTGTAGCTGACTGACGTGACCTGCTTTATTTTTCCTGTCAGAAATAGGCCTTTTTCAGGCATTTTTACATGTCAGAGAAGAAAAGTCTGAAGTGCTATTAAAAAACTAAATGATGGCTGAACTCCACTTAGATGCTTCAGTTTTAGGGTGGGGGCATTGTGCATGCTGTCACGCTGTCACACTCTCATGACTTGCTGGGACACTTGAATAGAACAGAGCAGTCGTTAATGTCATTAGCAACACATGAGCCTTTCCTACTATAACAAGTCAAATTAACTGCTGTGAAAAAGGCCTGCGGTGTCAAATTAAGCAGTAAAAAAAAAAGTTCTCAGTGCAAATGACTGGTGCTGCATGCCTTAAGCACTATCCCGGTATACAGAGCAAACACTATGACCTAATATGAATCAATCAAACCAGTTATTTTTAAAGACACTGTGGCTGCAGTATACTTTCTGCTAAGCTACATAGTGCACAGTGTGTGTACTCCCACCCTCTAAATGACTATAACAGTGTCAGCTCAGTTAAGGGCTACATTAATGATTATTTAATTCATTATGTGTCTGATTAAATATTTGCTTTAGTCAATGAAAATACAGAAAATAGTAAAGATCACAATTTCCCCAGAGCAAATTCACAAATGTTTTGCTTAATCAACAACTTTAATGATTAATGTAAACAGGGTTTTTCTGACATTGTGGGCACCCCTTCAGCCAAAATCAAGACAACTGCGCTTGCCCCAAACCCATGAACTATATTAATGCCATGGATTCAGTGAGTTACTCTGTGGGTTACAAGATGAGGCCCCTATTTAGCCTATAATTGTGGTAAATTCACACCAGCAAAACTTCCTGTTGTGTGTGCCTGTCCCCTCACCTCACGTAGCATCTTTAAACTAAATGTTGCAGTCTAGTCTTTAACCTGCAACTCAATGCAACAGAAGCATTTGAAAACATCACAAACGTTAGTGAATACCCTGGCAGCAGCATGGATGACTTCAGCTGTGACATAAACTTTGTGAAAGATTAAACGAATACGCAGATCCCACCTGACATAAACTGAGGGCAAAACCAAGATCTGTTTAAAGCACCCATCACTCCACAGAAACATTTCCAGTGAGCGGTCCTGATATGACCTGAAATACAGTCATTCTCTCCTGCTGCACCCGCTGCCTTTGTACACCTTCTTCAGCTTCTCTCTTGCGTCCTGGCCTCCGTTTCCCACCTTAGTTGTGTCCAGCTTGTGTTTGTAGGTCGTGCCTGCTTCAGTGAGCCGCCACCTGACAGACTGAGACACACCGCTGCAGCTGATGCTGGTGTGTGGGGAACTACACAGAGGAAAGGCCTTTGAAAAGGCTTAAAATATTTATAATACCTAACATGCACTTTGTGTAGAACTGGTTTCCCTTAAGTCATTTTTTCACATTCAATTTAAAAAAGGAGGCCAGATTAACTGCTATTTCTGGTATTTCATATTTTCACAATGGTTTTCCTTCACCAAGCATTTTCTACTTCCAATATGTATTATTGATATTCATTGTTTTCAAAAGGCATATATACTCTATACATACTGAGACATGATTCTAAAGAATGTATAATAGATATTGTAGCATGCATCTATGCTTTGTTGGAGCATGACTTGTAAAACTGGTATTGGCTAGAGCAAATAGCATGACTTAGACTTGAGTAGGGCAACACTTACATGATGAATCGATTATTTTACAGACAAAAAAATGCATGACCAACAACTCTGATACACATTTAAGTTATTTATAAAGCACAAATGCCAAATCAGTCGTCTGAAAGGGCTTCTCAAATGTGAGGTTTTGCTGCTTTTCTCTGTTTAATATATTTGTAAACTGAATATATTTGTGTGGGCTGTTAGTCAGACAGAAAATGCAATTTGAAGAAGTCACAGGCAAGATTGGGGCCTAAAGGCGACAGAGCTTTTTTGTCAGGGCACCACTAATATGGAATGACGTGCCCGAGAACCTCAGACTTGCAAAATCAGGATTCTAAAACTCACATTTTTAATCGTAAGGCTTTCTTACAATCATAGTTTCATCTCACAGCGATATGCAGGTGAGGTTGTTTTCTGACATTTTAAAAGTAAAACACATTTCTGAAAACCTAAATAACAGAAAAATTAAGTTGATTGTTTGTTGCAGCCCTACTTGAGAGCCTGGGACTCTTTTGAGTTGTGTTTTTAATTTGGTTTTGGTTCTAGAGGCTTAAAAGCAGATTTCCTGACACTGAAAGTGACCATGTTTAATGCTTACTCAATAGTTTCAGTTTGTTTTGTTCTGACATGACTTTTTTTTATTTGAACTTGACACTCTTTCTAATATTGGACACTTATGGTGCTGACTTGCCTTTGTGTTCTAGACTTGACAGGATAATCTGCACTTAAACTGAGACCTGCATAAGATGTGCACATACTTAGGAGTGTCAAAATGATTCAAGCTAAGCTGACATGGTCACCCCTCTGGGCTGGGATCCAAAATACGAAAAACCTACCTTTTGAAAACAACATCTGAAACTACTGACATCTATGTTCTTACAAAAAAGACTTATGACAATTACTCCGTTGTTTTTTGAAGGATAAGATATCCCATTAGCCTGTTGGGGACAGTTGACAAAATATTCCTGTGTAAATTTGTTGTACTGTATTCACTGCGAACAACATGCGTTTTATTTAGTTTGAGAGTGGATATCGGTTTGGGGGCTTCTGGAGACACTTTGGGCCTAATTCAATTTAGCATCTGTGAAACCACTGACACCCACACGCATAGTCAGTACTCTTTAGATGAGGAGGGTGGG